GGTGGTGGCAGTGACAGGGAACGTAAGGAATATAAGAGGAGGCCTGAAATAGTAAGAAATGGCTCTAAAACCTTATTGCCTAAAGGGCTGCATAGATTATGGTGCACATTAAGTATAACTGTTGAAGGCGAAAAGAAGAAGAAATCCTATCAATCTAAAAGGTGTGATGTAATGGCAAGCAAAGAACCAGAATACAAAAGGTGCACTGAATATCTGGGGCATGTGACAGGATACGGAAATGATGTGCGCAAGTCAGAAACATCACGTAGCAACAGTACAATTACAGATTATATTTTTCCTGAAATTCCTCAAATATTGTTATATTGTACTTAAAAAAAAAAAGGAAATTTACCATAGCAGGTATAAGTATCTACACTTGGACTATTCTCGGACCTTTATCTTGTATGTCCATATGAACTTGACATTGTATTATGTCATTTGATTACAAAATGGGACTGACACAATAAGGAACACAGAAATAATGTATCCTTTTAAGAGATGATCTTCTAATGTTGAGACTGAACCAAAAGCTTCTATGAGGTATTTTAAAATAATCAATGAAAGATGTGGTGAGGAAGAAGTTCAGTGGCAAGGTGAAGAACACCATATACAACATGCAGAAGCACGCTTTTTGAATCACACCCTGCCTCCAGCCCCTAGTTGAGAACCACTGATCTGAAAGATGATGATGGCTACAATGTATTATTTTGGTTTTTGAAGCTGAGTTGATATAAGTCATAGAATATAAAAGATTAGAATGATAATCATCCCCATTCATTTTTTTACCAGCCACTTTTCTACAATCAAAATGAATAGAAAAAGGGAAAAATAAGTTTTTCTAGAGCCATGCTTTTTAGTTATAAGTGGAAACTGTATTTCTTTATTGATAAGTCATCTAATCCTCTGAAATAGTGATGCCACAAGGTAGGATAAAATTGTTTATAACCAGAGAAGCCGTGGCCCTTGCCCAAGTGAGTCAGAGGGAACTGAGTTAGAGATGGTACTCAAATGAAGGTCTGCACCTCACGGGAATTCAGAGGTTAGCTAGGCAACTGATAAAAAACCGATTCTGGAATTAATGTAAGATTCCACATTGGGACCTTCAGCTGGAATTAGCAAGATCTCCCCAGCCAAGAGGGAATACAGAATCAGCACCACCCATATCACCAATTCTAAGAGATTTTAATTCTGAACATTTAGGGCATACTTTGCCAACCAAGTTTTGTCTCTACCATCTGGCTAGTTCAGGCATAAGAGCTGGTTTTAAAAACTACAGATTTCAGTTTCCTTTCCCTTAGTGCAAATGCCTATGTCCAACTATGGGAGGTGGGGTGTGGAGGAATATATTACCACAAATAATGCATAATAATTTATTTGCAATATTACATCTAACTTGATCTGAGAAACATGTAAGTCAATTTGGCCTTCCACCACCAACTTCCCTTTCTAGCCTAACCTCTGGGAAAAGTAGTCCTATGTACCTCCCTGACCTCTCCTCACCCACTGGCCACAAGGAGTATGAGTACGTAGTCAAGACTAGACTGACCCAAATAGTTTCTGTCTTTAAATGATTTGAACCAAGAGACACAAAAACGCTAATTGAATAACGATGGCTATTTAAACCTAAAGGTCAGGGCTAGGAGCCATAATTTTCCTACATGTGTATATGAAGAAGTAAAAAGAGAAAGCTAGTTTGAGGAAAGAAAAAAGAAATGAAAAAAATCTCACAGAGAGATGAACAGATGTGTGATCATGGGGCTTTAAGAAAAAAAGATAGGGAAAAGTAGTGACTTTCATGTGAAACTACTATTATTTCCTGGTGTTCATTTCTGTAAGATATTCTTATGTTTTTAACAAATCCTCTTTTTGAGATAGCTTGAGAAAGTCTGTGTTTCAGGTAATAAGAAAATTTTCATGTAAACCTGGGATTAATATCATTAGAGCTGATGGAAAAAAGAGAAGCAAGGAGAGAGGAGAGGTCAGCTGAAAATCTCCCTTACCCTACGCCTTACCCAGGTCTGACAGAGGAGGGAAAAGGCGGGGTAATCTGACACAAAAGCAGCACTGTTTTCAGGACTCTTTGGGTTGGATCTCTGAAAAGGCCAAGGTCCTCTTTATATACCTGACACTTATTACTATAATTGAGGGTGGTCACCACTTCTTGCTTCTCTCCCTTCAAGCAAGGAGAGAAGATCACTACTTAAGACTTCTTTTATTTAATAATTTTCTGATGTGAAAAACTAGTCATAAGGCAAAAAGCTTTCTTTCTAAAAACAAAACATATGGGCAGTGCCTGTGGCTCAAGGAACAGGGCACCAGACCCATATACCAGAGGCAGTTGGTTCAAACCCAGCCCTGGCCAAGAACTGCAAAACAGAAAAAAAAAAAAAAAAAACGTATTACTAATTGTTGTGTAGTTTTCTAACAAGCAATAAGACTATTATAAGAAGTAATTTTTTTTAATTTTAAAGAAATGAAACTTCAAAGACAGACGCCAAGTATTCCCAGTACAAATACATTCCTTTATGTTGCCCTTAATTTAGATATATTTCATGCCTACTTTATCTTCAGATGCTGTTGTCTCAAGGGTTTGAAGTTAGCAATCATTTTAAATCCGCTCCCATATTTCAGCCCACACAGTATGGTATAGGCAGATACTTAATTATCAGAAAGAATTTAAATTAGTTGCAGGTCTAAGCACAGGAGATCTGGCTAATTCATCTGCTACATCTCTTCGAGTCTGGGCATTCCAGCCCCAGAAGACATTACATTTCTTTGCTCTCTATTTTTCCTCTCTGAAAACATATCTAGAGAAGGAAAAGTTAAACATTCTAAACAAAAAATACAAATTGCTCATTTCTCAGTTATTGCTTGAAGGAGAAAATTCTCCATTTCCATAATAATTATATTGCTAATCTTTCCTGCTTTACTGATATAAAAATATGAAGAGAACTTTTAGCTCATTAGCAACCTGTATTGAAAATTTCTTTGTGGGTGTTTATGGTTATGTTTTAAAAGCTGCTTTGATTTTTTTAAAAAAGAAGTTGTTTTGATAATCTTGATATAATTCTCAATCCTGCCTCTGCAATGAAATCATTTGGAAGCTTTTCAAAAAGTACTGATGCCTATGCCACGCCTGAAGATGTGCTTATAAATGTCTAACAACCTGCTTAGGGATGGCAGTAGTTATAATAAATTCTACTGCTATAAAGACTAGGTAGTATACAACTTGCAAATAATAACAAAAAATGTAATATTTTATTGTACATTTTACATAGCCACTTGATTCTCACAGAATGCTTTCATTGATGTTTGCCAAGTCTTGTATCATCCTCCAGCCAATGGCCACAATTGAGAAGTGAGCACAGTTCTGACCTGAATATTGATTGACATTTTCATCCATGGTAATAAAACAAAAGTGAAACAAAGAAGATGTATGTGGTCTGTTCTTGGTAATCAATGACATGCGTAATTTCTTAGCTGCATCAAATAATAGTTTTCATGCACTGGAAGACTATTCAAGTTTTGTGCTATTCACAATGTAACAGAGATAGAAATTTTGCCCTTTTAAATTTAACCCGCATCGTGAATATTTTTTTTCTGTCACATACTTAAATCTAGACCAGCAAACTAGGAGTCAGAAAACTTTTCTGTAAAAGAATGAATAGTAAATATTTTAGGCTTGTCAAGTTGTGTGATCTCTACTGAACTCCACTGTTGTAAAATGAAAGTAACAATAGACAATAAATAAACAAATAGGTATTGGCCACGTGTCAGTAAAAGTTCATGTACAAAGAACAAGCAATAGCAAGTACTTTGCAAACTCACAAAATGAATCTGTAACCAAATAAAAAAATCTTACAAAGAACAATGCTTCTGAACTGTGGGGACTCTTCATGTTAATATCTTGAACATCACTTCCTAAACCCTTAGTTGACTAGCAGAGATCCTGAGAAATAAATTATCATATTTAACATGGAATTACATTTCTCAAAAAGTCAGTTTTTACATGGCAATGCTCTCATTCAAAATATACATATGGGAATGTCATTAAGAAGGAAGTTATAAATATAAATATGCTTATGTTGTTATTTGCAGGATAAAACTGAATATTAAGCAAGATGAGTTGTAAAGAAGGCGGCTGATCAAAATACAATTAGCTTTGAACATTATTGCATCCCTATAAAAATAATAAAAAGGAAATCAAAGGTTGTACTAACCATAGTCCTTAGATGGAAAAAAGCCATACTTTGAATAATCCAGATTTTGCTAATTATAGTCTCTTGAAATGTAGGGTATGAAATTATAGAACAATATTAATTTAACAGGCTTACCAAGGATTTTCCATTCTAAAAAACAAAGTATTTACATTCCTTAAGCTTTCCAAAGTCACATTAGCCAAGTATGAGTTATTCTTTTTCTTTTCCAAATATGCAGTAGCAGCATAGTCTAGGACGTTTAGCCATCTTGTCCTGACAAATAACCAATTCACCTTTTTTCCCAGTGTATTCTTAAGTATTGATTTTACCAAGTGAACTCAGACATGTGTCACACTTATCCAATACAGATCCTTTTCCTTGGAAATGTAGTTTGAACATCAATCAGTCACCTGGCCTTTCACCTCCAATTTCTATTGCCACTGTCTGTCAACTATTAATGCTTGCCCATTTCCCCAAATGTTATTTTTAGAAACTGAAATATACAGTGACTACTGTGAAAAATGCGTATTTCTCAGAAAATATGCAAATGGTTTGCGTAATTAAATTTCTTCAATAAAATTACTTTTCTGGCTTGAAAACTAGCTGAAATTTAAAAATTCACATTTTGAAGGTCTCTAGGTATTTTCTTTTAAAATCTACCTTCTAAGTAGTAATATTACTACTTGTGAGTTGAACTCTAGTTAGAGGAAGACAATACGGCACTGTCATCAGGGCCTTCAGAGGGAGCAGAGCATTTTTGTCTCTGGCTGAATCCAATGAGAGTAACGGAATGATACCCACCTTGAGCTGTAGGTCTCCTGGGATCAGAGTGTTTGCTGGAAGCCTTTTAATGTGTTGGTAGACATAAGAGGAGAATTGCTCCTGCTCAGCCTGTAATTGGGGGCCAAGTTTAGAGAGATGACCTCTGTTGGTTTTGATAGCTGTCTGTAATTCATCAATCAGCCTGCTCACCTGAAGGGGTTAAATTACAAGAGTTGTTAGCAAGAAGTAATTGTTGATGTCGCACCTATTAGATTTTTGAGTACCTAGCTTGATGGGGGAAAAAAATGACTTCAATACAAGAATGTGAGTACAGACCTCAAGGAAAAAGAATAAAAGAGATATATGCTCTCTCATACATAAATTTTATTTATGGAAAAATGTCTAACCCTTTCATTTTGATAATGTGAAACAGGAAGCCATTTATAATAATTACCAAATGAAAAATATACCTGGATGAAGAAAGAAAGAAATATAAATGTCTAACAAGTTTACAAAGTACTTTTAAGCTGCCTAGCAAAATCAAAGTCCTTCCTAGGACTTGAAATAACCCAATATCCGTAACTTACCATCATATAGCATCATATAGCATTTTACTGTAGAAACTTTCCATTTTAGAATATTTTATTTTACTATCCATGTGTTACATTTAACATTTTTTCACACATAAATTAATTATCACTTTTTGGCCTCTTACTTTCCTTCTAAATATTCCAAAATATAATTTTTCTCAATCTCATTAATACAATTTTCCAAAATATCTATATTTCAAAGACAATGCTCTGTTCTATACTATATTTTAAATATCTATCAATGTCAAAATAAAGCATAGAATTTCTCCAGATACAGCAAAGGCTTATATACCCTTGATTTTAAAATTTCTAGACTTCTACTCAGCATATTTAAGACAGACATGACATGCTAAACACTCAGACACAGTAAGTTGATGTTTTAAACCATATAGTTTACAAATTAAAACTCATTTCCATTCTTTGACTCTTCACCATTTTATGCAAATTTATAGTCTCGCTAATGGACTGGATTCTTACATAAACACTGGTGAGATCAGAGTGTTGAATTAAATATTGTCTAATTAATTACGATACTCTAGAAGTAGAAGGCATGTATGTGTGTGTGTATGTCTGCATGTATGACGTAGGGAAGGGGACAGTAAGAAGAGACATCTTGTTATAGTGATTGATACATGGTTGTGACCAAAAGAGATGAAGAGAAGAAATTCTTTTTATCTGTGATTATTCAAAGTAATCAAATGTTACTCATTTAGAATTACAATGACTCTGAAAAGACATGGACTTTGAAATCTTGGGTTAAAATCTTGGCTTTCTCACTTATTGACTAGGAAATTTTGCACAGGTAATAATAAAGAAATTAAAGGAGATTAAAGAATGGACAGCACAATGTCTAATCTATAATGGGTGCCCTGGGCATTGGTATATTATTATAAGGTTTCCTTTTAAAATTTAAGTGCTTTCTGTGTATCAGGTTTTAATTATTTTTTTTCTTAGACTATCTTTCCTATCCCTACCCCAATTTCACATAAGAAACAGGAATTCTAAACTATTTGCTCACTGCAATGTCCACAGGTAAAACGGGGAATCCTTTTCCAAGAATCTTCTGTGTGTTGAAACTTCATCCTCTTCCTCTCTCCCAGCTAATTGTAATACTCAATATATGCTGATAACAAAAGATGAATACAAGTCACATTTGAGCACCTCTTGCAACTGCAGAAGTCAAGCATTCCTTGAGTGTTATAATTTTAATAGTTTTTTTTTTCCTTTCTAAAATGTGTTCACATTTTTCTACACCCTCTGCATATGCTATATGTCAATAATGTTTAAGTTTTATCACGAACTTTACAAGCACTGTGCATAAAAGCAAGCTAATTTAAAATTATTCCTAGTTTTCTTTGGTCTCCCATATTTCTTTTATTTGTCCCTATGTGATCAATTATCTATCCCCTTTAAACATTCCTTTCTTCTAAATAATAAATAGGCATACTTTTCAATAAAGGGCCAGATAGTAAGCATTTTTTGGCTTTGTGAGCCATAAGTAATCAAACTATTTAACCTTACAGTTATATTGAATATTTAGAAAGCAGCCACAGACAATATGTAAGTGAATGGGCCTGGCTGTGTTGAAATAAAACTTCATTTCTAAAACTAAGCTGTGGGCTAGATTTGTCCCCAGGGCAATAGTTTTCAGACCATTCTTCTAAATACATGTATTTACTATCCATCTTTTCTTTTCTTATAAGTAATACTCTGATCCAAGTCATCATCTCCTCATCCCTTCCCTCAACTTGGCTTAATACCCACTGATTCCTCTTCCCGTTCCCAGGCTCTTCCCTCCTAATCCATCCTAATAACTCCACCTACTTAATCCACCTTGAACAACATACTAAACCATCTGGTTGCTCCCCCAGATTCCTGAGCTTGGTATTCAAGATTCAAGACCTTTTATAAACTGATCCCCACCTGACTTTATGGTTCATAGTCTCACCAGACCCCTCCACTCTAACAAGATGTCTCTTCTCAGTGTCCCCTCCCACACACACATATATGTACATACATACATCCCTTGTATTTCTAGAGTATCATTAATTAGACAATATTTAATCTAATACTCTGATCTCACAGATGAGAAATTCAGACCCAGAAAAGTTGATTTTCCCAGGACACTCAGATATTGGCACCAAAACTAGAATATAGGTCCCCTAATGCCCAGGCAACAGTTTCCTAATTCATTCTTCTCTTCTCTCTGAGGCCACTCATCACTAAAGTCTCACTTCCTCCACCAGACCTTCTAGCACTTACTATCTGGGTAGAGACATTTGGCACTTAATCAAAGTCAGCTGTGTACTGTTTTTTACTTGGTTTATACCTCAATGCCTTGTTCTTCCAAATAAATTACAAACTTTGCCTAAATGTCCTTCCCACTTTATATAGTAATCCCTGATTCCTGCAAATAGCCTCTGTTAGGTTAGACAGGTATGTTCGGGGAGGAAGAAAAGGCCGGCAGGGGCATAGCAGAAATCAAGGAGAGAGAAGTGGCAGATGAGACTCTCCGGCAGACATCGGAATTCCTGCGGGATTTGCTTTGGATAATAAAATGTGAGCAGAACTAACATATGCCACCTCTTTGCAGAAATTTTAAGAGCCCTAGTGCTATTCTGCCATCACCCTCCACTCTCTCCACGAAAATAGCAATGTCCCAATAGAGGCTGCTGCTTTGACCTGTGTCCCAGATTTAGAAAGACATACCAGAGAGAGTGAGAGATAACTTGTAGCTAATATGTAAAGTGAGCAAAAGTGATTTTGTTTGAAGAGATTTTAGGCGTATTGGCTTATGCAGCACTATCTAGCAAAATCTGATTAATACGTGTATATTCTTTGTACTAACTCCTTACAACCCTATACAATTCATCTAGTAAGTTGCTAAGGGGCAGCCCTTAACTGTAAACTAAAATGAAAGTCTGTGGAAATTTCTGCTGTCTGTTCACAGGAAGCCCCTAATAGTCCACCAGTGGAACTTGGACAAAACTTTACAAATCATGGGAGGCAGAGACATACAGAGTGGTCAGGAAGAGTCCTAAGGGAGACAGAAAGAGAGAGAGTAAAAAAACCATTCTTTTAAAGGAAAAAAATAAATGAGAAAGAGGATGAGGGAAGAAATTACAAGGCAAGGTGATTGGGGGAGAAATGAGCAGTAAAAAAGAGAAGGAAAGAAAATGTGGAAAAGAAGAGAAAATTATCTATAGACTATAAAGTCCAGTGATAAATTTCTCTCATGATCCATCTTTCTTACTTTCTGGAATCAATTCCTATGTCTTCCCTTGTACTATTAATCCTATAAGAAAGTCATAACACTTAAAATATGGAAATGATGGAACAACCTAGTCTGAGGCAATGCTTTCAGCCTCATCTTCACCATCAGGTCATAATACTCTCAAAATTATGGGTAATAGTATATAGTCTACTGAAGCTAAAGCCCAAAACAGGATAGATGCTCTAAAGCCCAAAACAAGGTAGGTACTCATTTCTGGAGAGCACTGGTCCTCTCTGAGCCCATCCCTAGCCTCATGTGATTTGGGGTCTTTAAAGTCTAGTAAGTATCATGCAAAGGTTTTGCTAGTAAATAGTACTATGCTCTTTAATTGTATGTACTATACCTTGTGCTATAACAAGCCACCAAAAAAAAAAAAAAGGAGGAATTTCAGACTTTGATTTGAGAGCATTTTTGTACATGACTGGGTTTACTGTCACAATCCATCCCCTTTCACTGATAGGAGATTTCATGTGACATCAGAAATCAGCCAACCATACAATTGATGATGTCAATTGTACTCTAAAGGGCTATTGGTCAAAGTCTTAAAAGTTTCATTTGAGATAAGTTCTTGGTTGTTTTGAAGTTTTTCCTCTATCATGTTTGCTATTTTCATCATCCCCAGGATTATCTGTTAATGTACGTGAAGCATAATTACACCAATTAAGGCCTTTTAAAAATAAATTAAAACTATAAAATAAGATGTCTAGCAAAGATTAATTTATATCTTGAATAAAACATATCAAGATGACACTGATGTTTAGATAATGTTTCCATTCAGTTTTGCTTAAACTTTGTTATGTTACATATTCATAAGGTCTTTTATCTTCAAAGTGCTACTTTTTTTCTCAGTTATTATGATAACATGTCACCCTTAAAGACAACCCTACACTTGAAATAACTCAAATACTAAAATCAGGTAGGTAACACAATACTCTTGAATTATTTTACATAATATGATTTTTTTCCCCAAATCACAGATGTTGCTAAAAGGGGAAAAATGTTCTTTAAAATTCTTCTTCATGAATCTTTTTTTCCTGCAAATCCTTTTTTTTTCTCTACAAAGGCAACATGAATAGGGGTAAAAGGAGACAAAACTTGACCTTTTGTGATCTCAGCATTAATGGGTCTGTTCATAATTCAATCTATGTGTGTGTGGGAGCATCCATGTGGAAACATAGAGGCCTGAGAGACATAAAGCCTTTCCCTTTAAACATTATCTGACCCTATCAGTCCCATTCACAAAAGAAGGCTTACGTATGCATATGTTGAAAAAATGCGCCATCTCATTGTGCAGCAGAAAGCCTACACATTCTGTTCTTCATTCTCCGTGGAAATGCAGCACGGAAGTGACACTTGTACAGAATTTGGGAGAGTGACAAATGAGCAGAAGGTAGAAAAAAAAAACTATATTGAATATTCTGTTGAGGAGATGAACGAAACTTCTGAAAGAATGCAAATGTATATAAACATGTATATAAGTTTTTGCATAACATGTAGCACAATTCGGTCATGTTTATATGATGCATACATGCAACCCTTGAATTCAGTTGAATTCTCAAGCTGATTTAAAGTCAACCCATAAAATATTATTCTGTTTATAATTATTCTAAAAAGGCATACATACTGAAATTGTACATTTCTGATCCATACATTGTATATACTGTATATTGACCATTATTAATGAGTCTTTTAGGAGCTCTTGGTTTTTCTAATGATGAGTTCAGCTGTCAGCCTGAATTCTGTGTAGGCTTGAATCACCCATGTTACTGGGGAGAACACTAGAACACTTTACACAGAACTGTCACTCGAGATCAGCACAAAGAGTGGCAGCCTCTATGCCAGGAACATCACAGGGGCATGTAACAATATGGGGTGGTCTCAAAACCAGGTCAGCACTTCAACTTAAGAGTAGGAACTTTTCTAATTAACAACATATGGAAGATAAACCAGAAAGGTGGTAGGAAGACAAAAATGGTTATTTTAAACTTTTTAAAATCTCTTCTTCATTTTAGGTATTGGGGCACAGTATTTTTCAGGTTAAGAAGTGGCTCGGCGCCTGTGGCTCAAGCGGCTAAGGCGCCAGCCACATACACCTAAGATGGTAGGTTCGAATCCAGCCCAGGCCTGCCAAACAACAATGACGGCTGCAACCAAAAACTAGCCAGGCATTGTGGCAGGCACCTGTGGTCCCAGCTACTTGGGAAGTGGAGGCAGGAGACTCGCTTGAGCTCAGGAATTGGAGGTTGCTGTGAGCTGTGATGCCACAGCACTCTACCCACGGGGATGGCTTGAGGCTCTGTCTCAAAAAATAAAATAAAAATGAAAATAAAAAAGGAAGTGAATATAACCCCAACTTGATGCATGAAGACTGAAAGGCATGGAAGTCTGTGAGCAAAGTTATCTCCTGATTTGGAAAATAAGCTACAGTGTAAGCATCAGGAAATCTGAAGTTTGTGTGATACCTCTTATTCCTAACACCTCAACTACAACCAAGTTTTTAATAGCTTCCTAGACCCTTTCCAAGATGAGGAATATTTTGGAGGTAGGTCTCATATTCAGCCAGAGGTCCCTTACATACTGCCTGTAGGCCTATTCAGCACTCTCACATTCACTCGTGGGAGACGGGACTGTTGAAAATATAGATATTGTAAATGTCTTCATGATTCATCTGGAAATATAGCTATGTTGATGGCAACCAAAATGTCAACTATGCCTTTGGAGAGAGATGTGAGACTGTGCCTCACAGACGTCTAACTACAGGAGCACAACTGACCAGGTACTATACTCTGAAATCCATCCAAATTAGTGCCAGTGGCTGAGGACACTATGGCAGGTCTATCTCTGAGAGTCACAGGGCTTTCCTGATGGCCATGTTTGGCTCAAATTCACCAACAGCTTTCCAAACCTTCCTTAGACTGCATGCACTGTGGTCTAGAAGGCTCTACTCAATCTCCCACTCCTCTCTCCCTCACTTGGGCTCAGGCCCGCATTTCAGTCTGAGATCTCCCAGCTCTACCCCGTACTCTCTCCATTTTCTCTCACACGCATTTCCACAAAGAAAATTCACACACACTTGATCTCACCTTGGTGTCTACTTTTCAAAGAACCTGGAATAATGCATTTCCAAACTGATAAAAAATAATATGCATGCAGATTTCCAAAAAGCTTAATGTACTTTAACATGTAGCATCACCTCAAAATGGTCTTATGATATATACATGATTATTACTTCCAGTTTCCATGTAGAAAAAATACATGAAACAAAATTTTAAGATAAAACTGTAGGCAGCAGAGCTAAATCTCAGATTTTAAAATGTCTATGTCTAGAAATATATTTGTATAAATAAACCATGAGAAAAATATACAAGTAATCTCACTCCAGAATTTTTCATTTATCTCTATAAGGATTTCATATCTCATCTCTGTATGTAAATTAGATTTCCTGTTTCAGCCATAAAAGTTTTAAACTTTTTCTAACCAAAAGCGTTTTAGACTATTCAACAGCATAAAGGAGCAATTTCCAATGTCTTCATAACTCAACTAGCAACAGGGCTATGTTGTTAGCAACAAGGACTTTTATAATAAGAGACTTATAGACTTATTTCAATCAAAACACTAGAACTTACATACCGAAATTAACACGATCACTTTCCAAGTGATCACATAAGTTATTCTCATAGACTATGGAATATATTTAAAGATTATTACCCACATACATAAAAACACAAATTTATATTTCCTTGACTTGTATTTGATTTTTGAAACAAGCAAAAGACATCGAGCCAGGGCTGATAAACAAATATGTGACCAAAGAAGGAATTGCATAGGAAGAGAACTGAGGTATATAACATACTAAAGAAACACAAAAATGATAATAAAGAAGAAATACCAAATAAGCATAAACACTATTGGATTTTCAGAAAAGATAATTTTCATTTCCAATGTTGCTAATAAGGTAACATTAAAAAGTATATATTTAGTATCATGATCATTTTACTGGACTACTTCAAGTTTTCAGTTCCATTGAAATTATAATTTTGCACAAAATATCAAAGGGCAAAAATTTATAATGTTTAAAAGGGAGAATATATTTAATTTGTCATTCTTTGAGTCTAAAGACTCAAATTCATGTTCTTTCCTCAGAAAGATTAAATGCTTTTGCATTCCAGGAAACTGCATGAAAACCATTTTCCACATATCATTGGAGAGACTATTTCATTTTCCAAAGTTTACACGATATACAAGAAATGAATAGATTGATTTTTAACTCACTGTGAAAATATAATAAAACTCACCAATTCTGACAAAAGATTTTTCACACATCAAGAATGGTATTTTTTAAATTTATAACTAACAACCTAGTTTTTTGACTTGTTATAATTTTTTGGAATGAGTTAAAACTCTAAATCTATACAATTGTTATTTCTTACATTTTAGAAATTCTTCCAGTTTAACTTTTCTTATGAAATATTCTCTACTGAGATTGCTAATCAATGTTCATAATGTGGTCTTTAACACTAATTTGATGGATCTATTATAAAATACCTAGTTAGTAAAGAAGATATAATCACAATGATAAGAAAATATTTAAAACCTTACATCTTGAATATTTGTTTGCCAAAAAGGCAAAAGAGATCTTATGAGTTTATTTTTTAAATATTCACATTATATTATCCCTTAAGTTACTTATAGATTTTATTTACTGACAATTGTACATGGAAATTAGCAAATTCATGTTCTTTCCTCAGAAAGATTAAATGCTTTTGCATTCCAGGAAACTGCATGAAAACCATTTTCCACTTTTGTCTAACACCAATTTTGTATTATTATTTCATTTATGGAATATGCTGTCAACTTCACAGCGTGAGCTTTGGAGAGAAGGTTTACTTTAATAGTTCTTCATTACAATATTGCCTACGGAATCTTATGATTAGCTCACTTAGGCTTGACATTTGTAAACTATAGTTTTCTCTTATTAAAAGATAACTTTATCAGCATTTCTAAAATTCAGAACAATAACTCTATTCTTCGTAGGTCAGATCCTAAAAACAAGATTTGGTGTTTATTAAAAATTTGCCAAATTTTATAGCTTTCCCTATGTTGGCAGGTTTTACGATTTCCACTTTCAACCTGCATGTAATAATTTACCAATTTAGGAAAATTTATGAGAAAATATTCATAAGACCTCTTTCAGAAAATTATAATTTGATTTATTTTTTCAAGCATACAATTATTTTTCAGGCTACGTATGCTAATAAAATGATTTCCAGTTTTGATCAGTTTTTTCCTATCTTATTTTCAGTTAATAAGAGTTGAATTATTGCAAGACTCAAAGTAAAAGTTATCTCAATTTTAAAAATAGTGTTCACCATAGTTTTATAATACAATTTACAAAATAATTTCCTTACTTCTTCTTGTGCCTTATGGTTTTCCTTTGCCGTCATTGAAAGAATATTTTTTTCTGTAATTTTCTCCTTCTGTTCATTCGCAGCCAGGTTCAACTAGAAAAAATAAATGAATGACATGAAAGCAGGTCCCTAATAACAATATTTCTTTAAACAACTAATTTAGCACAATTTTGAAAGTGATTTGATATTAATCCCACTGATATTTATATTAAAGTGAACTCTACATTAAATAAGTAGAAAGTTCACTTATACTTAAAACATTTGACACACTAAATTTTTCACTTTCTGTTTAGTTGTTTTAGGATTACTGAATGTAACTTGGGGTGGGAGGGTCCTTAATTGTAGTGTTAGACACCAAGGAGTACTTTTTAAAAGCATTTTATTAAAATGAACTTAGCAACTTGTTTTTAAAATAGGCTAATATTTTCTATTAAAATCCTTCACTGCAAGTAGGGAATAAATTGGCTACTGTTACATCAAAATAAGAAGTCAAGAACATAAACCAAAAGTGTAAAATCAAACACTGTAGAATGGTGCTACACAATAATCTTCCCTCAACAGATTGATATTAACAGGAAGAAAGAGAATAAGAGCCTAAATAAGGATCCTCTAAAGGCTCAGCGCCTGTGGCTCAATTGGCTAAGGTGCCAGCCACATATACCTAAGGTGGCAGGTTCAAATCCAGCCCAGGCCTGCCAAAACAACGATGATGGCTGCAACCAAAAAATAGCCAGGCGCTGTGGCAGGCACCTGTGGTCCCAGCTACTTGGGAGGCTGAGGCAGGAGATCCACTTGAGCCCAGGAGAGCTGGAGGTTGCTGTGAGCTGTGATGCCACAGCACTCTACCCAGGGAGACAACTTGAGGCTCTGTATCAAAAAAAAAGAGAGAGAGAGAGAGAGAGAGAATCCTCTGAAATGGAATATTTAACAATTCTTTTATTGTAGTTTTTGGCCAAGGCCAGGTTTGAACCCACCACTTTTGGTATATGGGGCCGAGGCCCTACTCCTTTGAGCCACAGGCATCACCCAAGGAATATTTAACAATTCTTAAGCAATGGACATGATATACCATATCTCTTTATCAAGGATGAGATAAAAAATAAATAATTGCCATGTTTTTAAATTTTGTTCTGTTCTGTTGTTGTTTTAAGTAGGCTTTCTCAATTGTATACCTAGTAAATCATGTTTGAGTTAACATGAATTTTTAATTCATACCTGCCTGTCTGCTAAAAGAATAGTATCAGACCTATGACCACTTCTTCTAATGATATATTGTGATACAGTTATCAGAGATTCTATTTTGCTAAAAGGGAGAGGTCCAGGAATCTTTTGATTTTATTCTAATGATCACTCTTAAGGACTTGACAATCATTTCTGTAAAGGGCCAGGTGGTAAATATTTTAGGCTGGGGGTAGGGGAGTATAAAATCCCTATTGCAATCACTTAACTCTGTCATTGTGGTATGAAACAGACAATGCATAAATAAATGAACATGGATATGCTTTGATTAAACTTTTAAAAAACAACAACAGGTGAGTAGTGGTTTGACAAGTGGGCAGTGGTTTTTCACTCCTGCCCTACATGATAACCACTGACAGATTCTTTTTAAAAATCATCATGTGAAACTATTCTTAGAAGTCCAAGTGCAGTGGCTCACACCTGTAATCCCAGCACTCTGGGAAGCCAATATAGATAGATCACTTGAGTTCACAAGTTCAAGAGCAGCCTGAGCAAGAATGAGACCTTGAATCTAAAAATACTCAGGCATTGAGGAGAGCGCCTGCAGTCCCAACTACTCAGGAGGCTGAGGCAAGAGAAGCACTGTGAGCAATAACACCAAAGCACTCAACCACAGGGAGACTGAGTGAGTGGAGACTCTGTCTAAAAAAAAAAGAAAAGAAAAGAAAGAAACTATTCTTAGGATCACTCTCCTGAAGGAATATTTGTTTCTATGATACAATGATACCAAAAAATATAATATGATAATAACTTAAATATCAACCTTAACTTCCACACATGGAAGACTACATGTGAACCATGGCACAACATGACCATCTGTTTATTTAGTTATTGGGAGAGTTCTTGTTGTAGGAGAAATGTGTGTAGAAGAAAGAGACTTGAGAATATTTACCAACCTCATTTACTCTTTACAAAATTAATTTCTAATACAAAAATTTTAAGAGCAGTTTTTTCTTTTAAGGGAACCAAAACAAAACAAAAACAGATCTATGAAACTCTTTGGTGCCACAGCAGGTAAGTCGGTTTCTAATGAACTTTCCCAGGGCCATGATATTTAGAATGGCTTCTAAATAGTTCCTTTAAAGGTGGGAATTCTTTACCTTTGAAAGCACCACACTTGGAAGAAATTACTTCCATTTAAATATTTAACTTCTAAAGCACCATACTAATCTGTGTAGGGGAAGCTAAAAACATACCAACATAGTCCCAAATAAGAAGTTCAGTAAGATGCTAAGAAATAAATGGTCAGCAAAATGTGTAGACATATGCCGGGTTTTTTCCGGAAATAGGCCATTCTAAAAGATATCCTTTAAATGCAATGATTTAGAGAAGTTATTGAAAGTAAAATGTCAAATTAAGGAAGTGCATTTTCACCCTGATATATTAATAATATGCCATGCTAATAGCATATTTCCCTCAAACCACTCAACACGATGACATTAGTAGATTTCTCTCTTGTTACTTTGATGAGAACATCCTGTTTCTTCATTAAGAATGAACAGATGCTTCTGTTTTCTGTTCATTATTGTTGTTGTTATTGTTGTTTCAGATTAATGTATGTTTGCTGTTCTTATCCAAAATATATGGAATAACTTTTTTGTCAATGGGTTTGAGATTTCTGAGACTGATCTTTCATGTATTAACAAGTGCAGAAAATTTAAAAATTAAAAATAAAAATAAAAAAAAACCCAGAAAGGTGGCTAAAATTTTTATATAACTGTGAAAAACCAGGTCCCTGTCAAATGGGAGAAAAAGAACTTTGTTTTAAATCTATCTTACTTCTTTTAAATATGATAAAGCACCCCAATATTCATTATTCACATAAAAATCTAAGAAATAGGAAGGCACATGTAACTAACATTAGCCATCCATATTTAGGTTAAAGTTGGGCTCATTCAATATTAATGGGAAATAGACTAGAATAATTAAGAGACTAGTCACGAATGGTAACAGAAACAGAAGGAACAAAAAACATAATGGTTCTGTCAAAGAAAACTGAATAAAAATGTATCAAACAAAAACGGTCTAGTTAAATAAACATTAGATAAAAAGAAATAAGTTCACATCAAACAATTTGTTTAGAAATTAAGGGGAAAAATATCCACAAAAGTATACCTGACGCAATAGATTATGATGAAGTGATTTCCACTAGTTGTCACCTTTTGACTCTATTTTATAAACGATTGATGCCAAGGCGTCAGGCATTGTACCTTCTCTAAAGCCTCAAAAGGTGGTAATTCAGAAATCCACAATTCTATATAAACATGTAGCCCCTTGTAACTATAATTGAAACTATTCTTAATTTTGAGGAATTCTTCAAACTTTTGCTGGCTCAGGAAGCTCTTCTATGGATGCCTAGTGAGGAAAACAGGCTCAAACCTCCTGCTGGAGAAATACAACCAGAAGAGCAGTGACCACTCTTCTGTGGATCCCTGTTGATGGCTTTTCTTTTTAACTCCCTTCAAAACATTTTAATGTCTGCTTGTAAAAATCAACAGAGTATGTAAAAATTTTGACATGATATGAAGATAAAATCAAATCTATTTTACAGGAGAAAATAAAGTACAATAATCACTCTAGAGCTTAATTATCAATATCTTTAGAAAAGGTACAATAATTCAAACAAGCTAGTGTGTTACATATACCTAATTAATATGGACATTCCAGAAAAGTACAGGCTAAAGGGGGGAAAACCTGTTTGTCCAACCAAACTCCCATTGCCCTAACTCTGGTTTGGCACAATCTTCTCTATATTCAGACGGCTAGCAGATGATTCAAATGTGAAGTACATATGTGTAAAATGTCCTTAATAAATCAACAGACCCAATAAGAAAGCTAAATCTATCTAGCAAAAACCTAAGCTTTTTACCAGTAAGTATTGATCTAATAATAAATATTTAATCCATATTTTTACATGTGGATCAACATAGTTAATACAGATTAGCATAAACTACAGGATAATCAGCCTTCATATATATTGACAAGTTTCCCAATGGTCTGTTAATGTACAAAAGACTGGGACAAATTACTTATTTATATATACAAAACATGGTTATAAAGGCCAGCTGCAGGTATTTTTTTGGAAAGTGCATTTTAATAAGGTCCTATTCAGTTATGGAACAAATGGGGAAGAAGTAGTTTGCACTACAGAGTTTAGCGCAAGAGCTTTCTCTTTTTCTAACGATGAAATCAATCATTTGTCCAGACTGTGGGAGTCAGAGTTAGTTACTGAAAAGAGCTCCGTATATAAACAAGTCAATAACTCATTGTGTGTTATTGTCCAGCTGAAGAAGTCGGCTTTCAAAAAACTGCCCCTGCTTCTCTTAGAATGAATGTCACTGTATTCAGGGACTGGGAGAGAGTCCTTTGTTTCTAGCCATTGCTGGCTGCCATTTATGTATGGGAACAGGAGGTGGCTGCTGAGAGAGTGGGGGAAGCCACTATTTGGTATCATGGGATGTCCAGGAAAAACTGGGGGTTTTGTCAACCTAAGTAATTTGTATCTGGAAATGCATTAAAGGCGTTGAAAAAGAGTGGACATACCGAAAAATATTTGTAAAGGACATAAATGGTAAATGAGTCCGTACCATTTTAAGTTGTATCAGGCTGATATTTTTGGTTCCCTACCTGTCAAAGAAAATCAATCCAAAATTCAGGAAATGGTTTGAAAAGTTCAAATGTACAAAATCAAACAGGGGAACAGGTCAACATATCAAATAAAGGCTTAATCTGTTCCTCCCATAAATAGAAAGTTGACTCTTAAGAAGACTAAATGGGGTTTTTAAAGGGTGTGTGTGTATGTGTACATGTATATATACACAATGCACTCATATGTTTCTTTTATTCATCTCTATTACACACAAAAAATGGATTCATTAGTAACATATTATTTTTAGTTAGCATAAAAGAATTTCTTTAAGGAATGATTTTGTGTGCTCAAGAATTATAAGTTAAAGATATTTCAACTATCTTTGACTTAAAAGATAAATATCTTTTATAATTCAAACTATAACTAAAATTCATAAGATATAAATATTCTTATAATCTTATTTATTTCATCTTAGTATTTGTTAAATCCCTCGCATTCATTAGAATCAGACCAGGGACTGTGAAGAAACACAGGACTAGGTTTCAACGTTTGTAATTAGGTTGAGCAAATAAAAAATACTTGTAGATATGTTTAATAAATGGTCCTTTTTTTTTTTTTTTGGTGTCTAAAATTTTTAAACAAAACCTTAGGTCTTAATTAAATAAAGTTGTAGTCTTTGGGCACGGAGGGAGTTAGGCACCAGAACTGAACTCAATTGGTCTCACATTTCCTCGTAATTTAGAAAACAGAAGTAAGTAACATGACATGCTTCCACATGGAACTAATGTACTAGACATTATTCTAGACACAAATAGATTCATAGTAAAGTACAGCATGGCTGAGAACATAATTTAAAAAAATAGAAAATAAGAAGCAATACATGGCATGAGGTAAGTCATAATTGCTAAATGGAGGCATGAACAATACAACCTGAAAGTACAGAGGACAGAAATAATATTTAGAGATGGAGAACTCAAAGAAGGATAAGCGTAAATGATAGGCAGCATCTGGCCGGAAAAAGAAGAGAAGTAGTAATATGAAGCATTATTAACTAATATTATTTATTAATTAATAGTATGATGAAATTAGTTCTGAGTAAGATTAGTGAAGTGGCTTGATGTGGCTCTGGGAAGGGGAAGAGAAGACCAGCTGAGTCTTAAAGGATAAATAGAAAGGGCAGCGCAGAGCCAATCAGCTAGGATGAGAAGGAATGTTTCATGCCAGGGGGCAGTTATGTGGACCCA